GAATGCCCTTTATCACCACTCTTATTCAATATCATACTATAAGTTCTATATAGAGCAATAAGGCAAGAAAGGGACATACAGTGTATCCAAATTGAAAAGGAAGAAGTAAAACTATATTCACAGACGACATGATCCTATACAGAAAATCCCAGAAATTCCACAAGAAAACTACTGGATCTAATAGAAGAATTCAGCAAAGTGGCAGGGCACAAGATCAACATACAAACATGAGTTAGTTTACTTTACACCAACAAGGAGAACTTCGAAAAGGAAATCAAAAAGACAGTACCATTTACAAAAGCCTCCAAATGGATAAAATACCTAGGCATAAACCTAACCACAGATGTAAAAGACCTATATGATGAAAACTATAAAGCACTACTGCAAGAAACTAAAAGAGATCTACATAAATGGAAAAACATTCCATGCTCATTGGTTGGAAGACTCAACCTTGTGAAAATGTCAATATAGCCCAAAGCGATCTATAGATATAGATTCCAATCAAAATTCCAACAACATTCTTTACGAAATGGAAAAATTAATCTCCAACTTTATATGGAAAGGAAAGAGGCCCCCAACAGCTAAAGAAATATTAGAGAAGAAGAACAAAGCAGGAGGCCTCAGACTTCCTGATCTCAAAACATACTACAAAGACACAGTAATCAAAATAGCCTGGTACTGGTTCAATGACAGACATATAAACCAATGGAATAGAATAGAGACTTCAGAAGTGAATCTATCCATCTATGGCAGCTGACTTTTGACAAGGGGTCAAAGTTCATTCAATGGAGAAGAAAGTCTTTTTAACAAATGGTGCTGGCAAAACTGGATATCCATTTGCAGAAAAATGAGACAGGATCCATACCTAACACCATACACAAAAACTAACACAAAATGGATCAAAGACCTAAAAGTTAAAGCTAAAACAGCTCCTGGAAGATAATGTAGGGACAAAACTATGGGACCTAATGTTTTTCAGTAATAGAATATCAAACACGATTTCAAATGCACAAGCAAGAGAAAACAAATTATATAAGTGGGATCTCCTAAAAATCAAATACTGATGCTCATAAAAAGACTTTATCAATAGAGTAAAAAGAGAACTTACAGACTGGGAAAAGTATCTGGCAACAACATTTTTGACAAAGGTCTAATCTCTAAAATATACAGAAAACTTCAACAACTGAACAACAAAAGAGGACATTCAGGTGGCCAATAGATACATGAAAAGATGCTCGTGATCATCTGCTATTAGAGAGATGCAAATCAAAACTATAACGAGATACCGTCTCACTCCTGCAAAAATGGCACTCATCATAAAAACAGAAAACAACAAACGCTGGTGAGGATGTGGGGAGACTGGAACCCTTATCCACTGCTGGTGGGATTTTAAAATGGTACATCCATTATGGAAAACAGTATGCTGCTTTCTCAAAAAGCTTGAAATAGAGATACCTTATGATTCAGCCATCCCACTCCTAGGTATACACCCTAAAGATCTGGCAGCAGTGACACAAATAGACATACGCACAGCTATGTTCACTGCAGCATTTATTCACAATAGGAAAAAGATGGAAACAACCTAAGTGCCCATCAACTGATGAATGGATAAACAAATTGTAGTACATACATACAACAGAGTACTAAGCATCTATAAAGAATAATGATGAGTCCGTTAAACATCTTATAACATGGATGAATCTGGAGGACATTATTAAGCTGAGAGAAACAAGTCAAGCAAAAAAGGACAAAAATTGTATGACACTACTTCTATAGAAGGACAAAAATAGATATACATACAGATATCAATGTTCTTTGATGATTACCAGGGGTGGGAGAGGGATGGAGGGGAATGACTCTCTAGACAGTAGACACTTGGTATTTCTGGTGATGGGAAAGACAATATGAAATATGGGTGAAGTGTGTACAACTTAGCCAAGGTAAATGATGACAATAAGAAATACACAAGATTAAGAGACCTTCTTGGTAAATGTTATATACAATTTGGCAACAACAGCAGCAACAAACCAAAAATACATGACTGGTTACATAGGTAGATATACATGCATGTAGGTGTGTAGCAAGGTATATGTACGTATATATGTGCGCATATACAGGTGTATCTGTAGGCATAGATATACACGTTTGTGCTGCACATATATTCATATATAAAATAAAGCACAAAGGGGACACAGTCGTGGTTACCTCTCAGACACAACCAAACACAGATAAGGATTGGTTTACTGGGTGTGAAGGCTTAGGACCATAGTCTCGTGGGACAACTCAGTCAATTGGCACAACATAGGCTATAAAGTTTATGTCCTACATCCTACTATGGTAAGCAGTGTCTGGGGTATTAAAAGCTTGTGAGCAGTCATCTAAGATACAAATATTGGTCTCTACTCATCTGGAGCAGAAGAGAAAGAAGGAAAACAAAGACTCAAAGAAGAATATAGTCTACAGGACTAATTTCCTACATGAATCACAGCCTCATCTATCCAGAGATCAGAACTAGATGATGCCTGGCTACGATTACAGACAGTTCTGACCAGGGATGCAGTAGATGGTCCCAGACAGAATGGGAGAAAACTGTAGAACAAAATTCTAAGTCTTAATAACAAAAATTTTTTTTAAAAAAATACAGACTTACTGAACCAGTAGAGACTAGAGGAACCCCTGAGACTATCGCTCTGAGATACTCTTTAAACTCTGAACTGAAACTATTCTCAGAGGTCACCTTTCAGCTAAATAACAGATTGGCTCATAAAATAAACAATATCACCCATGAGTCCTGTGCTCCTTTAAAAAAAAAAAATCACCATCCTCTATATGAGACCAAACAGCCAATATTTACTCTAAAGCATAGGTTAAAAGGTTAGGGGGAGTAGGGTAGCTGGATTAATGGAAGAGGAAAAACCAGAATGGAAATTTGGAGAATGTCGACAAAATATGGAAAAAGTAACTAATGTCAATGAACAATATGTATAGAAATTGTTAAAGGGGAACCTAATTTTCTGTGTAAACTTTCACCAAAAACTCAATAAAATATTTATAAAACGAAAAATAGAAGAAGTCATGCTTGACTCCTCTCTCAGGAGTCTAGAACATCATTTAGCCAGTTAATGTCTAAGACTGCTAAACTATCATACAAAAGCATTACTATTTAAAAGCAAAAGCTAATATGACTCTGTGGTCATTAAAAAATTTCTCTCCCCAATCCTTTCTTATTCATCCAAATCAGGTCTAATTCTGTGTGAGTCCCTAGTATAAATTCAGGGGCAAGAAATTCAGTTCTGTCATAGGAGATAGGAGAAAAATGATACTAACCCATAGTTTATCATCCTTCTTTAAGTTTAATTTAAATATGCATGTATTCTTCTATTCAAATGTGGCATCCAGGAAAGATTTCACCACTTTCTTCATTTCACAGCATAATACCTCAACTAATAATATAGAGAAAAATGAAACTAAAAGAACTTTTCAAAGTAAATACTAGAGGGAGGTCTTCATGGACTGAGTTTTCTGGGTAAAGTACTCAACTAGGATTGCAGAAAACATTTCCCTTTATTGGACAATCAAACGGGAATAAGAGCTCACTGAAGCAAGGAAGAAAACTGAGACACTAACATTTTCCATAAATGTCTCTGGTTATTATTATGACTAAATGAAACAAAATGAAAGTTGACATTCTCTATTTTATATTTAAGAACTAAAGATCTACCAATGAATAAAGTTAAAGGTCTAGTGGGTTTCATAAGTCTGGTATTAAAAATAAAATTACCCTCAATGACAGTTGAAATGGATCTGGCATTTCACAAAAGAAGGTAAATGGATGTTTAAAAATGCTTTTCTTCTCCTGATACAGGACACCTCAACTATTTAAATAATTTGAAAGTTATTTCTCATAGAAATAGAATCAATCTTCTCTATGCCTGAAGCACATTAATAAGTATTCTGAATTTCCCTGCCTCCATCCAAGAGATAACTCAAAGTAAAGAACCCCTGAAAGCTATTACATTGTGGAAAACACAATTTTCTCCTTGAGAAAGAATAGTTATTGGTTGTGAGCTGCTAAATTCAACATAGGGAATATCAAGTTACTGTTGCTATGCTATGCATAAGAAAAATTCTTCTGTTGTGGTCAGCTAGTAGCATATACAAAAAGTTTTTTTAGCTCTGTCACATTTCAATTTATGAGTACGTATTTAAGTCAGTTGTTGCAAACTTATATAAGCTACACCTCCCATGTTTCTTCACTCCAACTTCCTTATAGAAGTTTTCATTTTTGTTTTGAGCTTCACCCACTGTGGTTGGTATTACAAAAAATATATAGTTATTCTGAATATACTTTTCCTAATAAACATGATTAGGACATTTCAACATTAACCCCACGTCTACCGGCATACCAACAGTTAAGGCAAATCACCCTCACCATTTTGAGCATAACGGATCTGAGTAAAATGAGAGAAAATGGACTTTCAAATTCACAAATCATAACAGTTTCAAAAAGTAAACCAAGAAATAGTAATTATACTCAATCATAATTTCCAACTCCAAACTTAAAAGATTCTAAACTGGTATTTCTCTCTCATTATATTTCACATTAACTCTGCCTTGTATATTCTATTATATTTTTAATAGTTTTCTTCCCCTTATTGACTAACTATACCTCTCTGGCAAATCAGAATTCCTTCTTCCCAAATTCTTAACTCCCACTCACTCCCTGTCAAATATTTATAGCAGTTCTTGATTAACAGCTTATCTGCTTCAAATTATTTATTCAGCTAAAATGTGAAGAAAACAGTCAAAACCAAAACCCACAAGAAAGTCTAACACTTTCATTTTAAAAGAGAGCAATTAATTTTTATCTTATGTAGAGTCCAACATGATTCTCCATATAAAACTGCTAAGCGTTATTTCATCAAAACCATGCACTTGGACTTATTTTGTCTTCACTTTTTAATGGCTGGTCATATTCAGAATCTTAGAAGATATCTCACCTTCCTGCAGGGCTGGAGTTGCTATCTTCACTTTCCCACTGTTCATTCTTACTTCTTGGAATTGGGGGCTGCAGCATCTCAGCGGCTAGGGGATCAGCATCATTTTCTTCTCGACCAATCCATTCTCCAATCACACGGGGTCTTAGAAGAGATGAATTAAAAGCCAATGTTTCCTGAAGAAGACAAAAGAATGTGTTGCTGTAGAGCCTTTATTCCTGTTAACAGAATACCAGGGAAATAATCTTCTCTAAAGTTTTGGTTGCATGTTCAAATTAACATGCTTCCCCTTTTCTTTCTGAATCAACTTAAAACTAAAGTTCTCTCGATCCCTACCAGATACTTATTCTGTGTGATTTATGTTAATTCCTAAAGGTCACTAGGTGAAAGGATCCGGGAGTGAAATCTGATTTGGATTTGAAGGCTGAATGTGTTCATGAAGGAGGAGCAGGAAGAGCACTCGTGGCACACAGGTGAGTGTTGTGCGGCACCTGCAGGGAAAGAGCTTGGTGTTGATGGGAAATGGTAAATGATTTCTCAGTTAGAGTTTGGAGTGGGGCCAGAAGTTAGGAGCAAGAGGATATAGGACTGGAAACGTGCATTGTCTCCAACTGTAAAACAATTTTGGACATTCGAGATCCACTAGGAGGTCTGAAGCGGGACAACAGCACGGCGGGTATGATATGCTAATTCAAATATTTTAATCTCTTTTCACAGACTTGGATTCGATGTAGTTATTTAAATAATATTGTAAAAATACTGAGTGCACACAATTGCTAAGGATATTTTGGTAAGTGGAAAAAAGGTAAGTTAAAAAAGCAATATCTAGTACAATCCAATTTTTGCTTAAAAAATTTACATGCGGTCTGAGGGCAAAATGGTGCTCTAGGCAGAAGCACCACACCGTCCCTCCACAGCAAAGATCCAAAAAACTAAGCCAAACAGAGAAAACAACAATCCTGAAACCCTAAAACAGCAAATGAAGAGATAAAGAACTCAGCCAAGCACCAAATGGAGTGAGAAAACTGACAGAGAACGGAGAGCGAGGAGAGATTCATGTAGAGGTCCC